GACCACAATGATAACCTGCATCCACTTGATAGATGGAACTTAATGAGACAGGCATCCTGAGAAAAAGATTAGATTCTCTGAAGGAACTTTAACTTGCAATAGGGAAGCTAATGGGACATCTAGTGCGTTGTTATAGAAATTATGATTTAAAGCCAGCAATAGTTTTTTTACCTTGCCAAAAACTATCTAGGGTTTGAAGCTAGTTTGTTTTGCAACTGACAGGTGATTCTTCTAAGTACTAATTACTCACTGAAAATAAGACAAGCTAGAAATATACAAAGATGAAACTAAATTATGAATTATTTCTGCTGCCAAACACGGAACAGGAGGCCAAACCTACCCTTTAGGCAACTACTTTCTTGCACGTAACATTAAATCTCAGTGTAGAATTACATGCAAATCTACTTTAGGCAAATCTTTGCATACAGGCAAAGTTTGACTTTGATGCAGCAGAGATGAAAACAAACAAGAGGCAAGGTACACCAGTTGAGTTCATTTCAGTACCAAGGCAGCTGAATTCATTTAATTTTTATTTTCAAAGACAGAATCAACAGGTAATCTTTAAGAATCTTTCGTTGTTTTGGTGAAAATGTAGGCAAACTTGGAGAAAGGTAAAGAGCATCTTGTTGATATAATCCACTGCTGAAAGTAAACCACTCTGTCCATTTTAAACTGCTGTTCTTTGCCAAAACTCTGTCCCATTAGCCTCTCACTGAAATTCGTGTAAGGTTATCAATCGGCACTGCTATAAAGCCCATGATTCATATGTTCTGACCAGCCATGGAATTAGTGCAATGAAAGATGCCATCTTTCTCGCAATGCATCCCATATTTTCCCAAAGTTGGCTAATCAACACAAAGCTTATAGCCTACATCCCTACTTTGTTTGAGCCGAGATTTCTCAATGTTTTCAGTTGGTTTGTTTTAATAAAGTGAGTCTCTAGAACTCTTGGCTATGAGTAAAAGCCTGAAAATGTGAACTAGTCTGTCCTGAGGGCTAGGTGGAAGCATAAAGTTATCATTCAGGACTTGGCAGAACTGTCTTGGGAGGGATTAGCTCTGATCTAAGATTATTTCAGCATAATATGTTGGGAATTTCTCATGGGAAAGCTTTGTAGAAATGCATGGGAGAGGTAGTACAAATCTGCATCTGAATTTTAGCAGCTCTTTTCACACTGATGAAGCAACAGAACACCTAAACTGATTGTGCTTGGTTCCATATCATGTTTTCTGAGGACCAACACATGAAAAGACCATTCCAATTACTATATATATAAGCTAGGATGTCAATGATTTGCAAAGCATTCATTTTTTAAATTTACATGAATAGAATGTATTTTGGGAAACATTTCTTGAACTGTAAGCTGCATTGCAAAATTTGGAAAAGTGTAGATTTCTGCATCTAACTGCATTCTAATTTATATACGTGCAAGTTTAGAAAGTGAAAATTGGACATTTGAACAAACTAAAATAATATGAGAATACAGGAATTTACCAAATTGACTACTTGTCTACCTAGACTCTTATTACAAGTTTTCTAAAAGTGATAGCCACTTTCCATTATCTCCTGTAGCGTGATCCTTATTTAACAGGAAGTCTTTTAGGATTGAATCTAACGCTTCTATATGTAAAACCTATGCTATCCCACTGAGCTTCTACTCTATTAATGACACAGGACTACAATCCTTCTGAGAATTCTAAACATTCTTCCTTTCTCTGTCTCTTTTCCTCTCTTGTTTTTTAACAACCTAACTAAAAGGTGGCAAAAATAAAACAGCATAGTACCACTGGTGCAGCTCAGTTAAATTCCAGACAGAATTCATCCCTAAGAACCATAGCTTAAATATTTTCTGTTTTTCTTCATACAGCCACTTAGAAGGGAACACAAACGCTTACCTTTAGCACTTCTTCTGGTACCTTGTGCTGGATGTGTTCTAAGACATACATGTTTGCATGTAGAAAAAATATTAAGGAAAAATGCAGCTTCAGGAGAACTCAGACTTACGTTAACCGTAACTTAATGGACTCTTATGGAGAATTGTTCACTAGGAAGGGGTCATTTTTAACAGTAGCAGTTAGTAGCAAGAAGCTACAACTTAAGACTTAACCATCCCAGAAAGGTTGCAAACACAACAGTGCATGTCCCACTGACTACCAGAAGTGAATAGTAAAAGAGGACAGCTGGAAGCAACACACCTCTCTGTCTCCAGCAATGACTTATAACTAAGATGGCACGCCAACAGGAAGACCCCAGCTGCAGGATGCTGTTCCCAAGCAACACCATCATCATAACATGGCAGTTCCCAAACTTTTATTAAGTGGGTCACAGATTTTTGGGGGTCTAAATTAAAATTGAAGCACCCCCTCCCCTTTTATCACTCCACTCATAGAATACCCATTTCTCTAGGCTGTTGCAAAGCAACAATTTCCTGGGAAAAGAGATCCCAATTCAAATGGCTTTTTGACATTTGATCTTTGCCTTGGCTCAGTCAGTTGAAGTTCACAGATAGAAGTGTTCCTTCTAAGCAATGGAGATGTTTCTGAGATTTGTTGTGCCTATCAGGGGCGTTTGTCATTTCTTTCATGGGCTAAATCAGGCACAGCTTTACTCTCTCCTTTGCTTCATTGCTCACTATTTGCCAGCAGAGGAGGGATATCAATGCACCGAGGAACCTGTCTGCTCTAACAAGCAGGGAGGGTGTTGGATGCTTCCCAAAATAGTGGCTTAATTCTTCAAGAGTGTCATGCTATGGTGCACAGCTGGGGAGCCAATGCTGCTGATAAGCTCAGTGTCTGCACTGCACAAAGCATATCTCGTTATTCAATCTCTGCTTGATGACAGCTATTGGCAAGGGCTCTGTCTTCTACTCTGCAGTGTTCAAGAACTAAAATATCCCTTCTAGGATGATGGATCTTCCCTATAAGATCAGTCTCTGGTTAATCAGGTTCTATCTCCACAGAAGCACTGCAGCATCTGCAGGAAAGGACCCACATGCTTGTGGTGGCACTACCAAAGGCAAATTCCAATTGGTCAAAAGGCAGAATGGACAGATATTCAAAAAATGCATTATGACGGCTCTTGCTTAAAAAAGAAAGAAAGAAAATCTAAGCAGCAAAAAGTTCAGAATTCTACAATGAATTTGGTGTTCATTTTCCAGAAGGGCTCCTGCTCAAAGGCTTGTGGGAATGCATTTGGAGATCTGGAAATCTCATTCCAGCAAATGACAGAAAACCAGGGTTTGACTGAAACTGCTACCCAAATAAAGCAGCACCACGTGAAGTCTTGAAGCTTGACTATTCTACATACAGGTAGTCCCCAGATTAAGAACACTCTATTTACAGATGATCTATAGTTAGGAATAGGGCCTACTGTAGCAAAATTTGAGTTAAATACATATTGATTCGAGTTAATTACACAATACACTTATACAGTATTATACAATAGTGCTGTTCCAGCTTACATACAAATTTGACTTAAAGAAGACCTTGGGAATGGAACTCATTCTTAAACTGGGGATTGTATCTATAAATGGAACTTGAACTGGCTTGTTATGTTCAAGCAAAGGAATGCAACTACTGCATCTCCAGTATGCTTCTATCTGGCATGGTCATCCTCTTCCAGCAAACTTTGATAGGAATGCACATGGAGTGGTGAGAAAGGAAGGGGATGCCTGTTTAGCCAGCTGCATCACTCAAATCAACTGCTAATCAAGGGACAACAGATGCCACAACTTGCTCATCTTCCAACTGCAAAAATAGCAAACTGCCACATGCAATAACTCACTTGGATCTGTTTGCAATCTTAAAAGCATGGTATGAATTGCAGACTAGTCAAGGTTTTTTTTTTTATTCCCAACACTCAACATGTGGGACAACCCCACAGAAAGCAAACAATAACTATAATGAAACATGACAATGGTAAGATTTGCATAGGCTCATGTCACAGTTCCAGAGAACAGTTGGCCTGGATTTTCTCAACAGGGTGGGGAACAAGAGGAAAGAATAAATTAAGGATGCCAGAAAAGGCAAGAAAAGATTGTCCATGTTACTTTTTAAAAAACAGTAACAGAACAAGGACAAGCACAGTATTCTGGCACAGTAGGAGAAATTTGCTTGTTGGCTACAGTGGACAGATGTGTGCCCTTCTGCATGAGAACCCTGCTGACTCAGGGAATGTAAAAGATGGTGTAATCTATAAAGAGCCAAGGGAGAAGGGAACAGGCAAGGGGGTGGTTTTCTTGTTTTTTTTTTTTTTTTATGCTGATAGTTCAGTAGAAAAGGAAGGAATGAATTGAGCTGGATTGTGGAAGCATATGATTTTGTTTTTAGTGATTCTATTTCAGCAAGATTCTCCAGTCTTTTCTCCCTCTCCCTTCTCTCTAGCGTGCAGACACACACACACGATTTCAGACAGTCCTATGTCTGCTGCCAAGAACTACCAAAATGTCAACCATGCTTTAATCTAGTCTTGAAAAAAAAGTTCCTTGCCAAGAAAAGAGCATATGACAGCAGTGCCTGGGCTTGCCCCCTAGAACACAATGCTAAAGTCAACAAAGCAAGAGGAGAAAAATAAAAATTCAAAACTGAAAAATGGTGTAGATCATGGCATAATTCTGGATGTTGTTGAAATCAGTGCTTGACTAACAGGGAAGAGAATTTAAGCCCTGACCTGAGTTTTGCATCCAGGTTGCTTATTGAGAGAAAACTGATGGGAAAGCTGTGGTAAGAATGGAACTGCATGTGTCACAGCTACTTAACCTGGGATCAAGCTGTTCTGTGGCAGAATAAGCCATGTTCTGCACATCCCAAATCTCTTCTCAGTACTAACATAACAAGAGATGGATTAGTCTCTTACAGTTTAAAGTATCTTAAACCTGGAAGCAAGCAAACATATAAAAAAGGAACAAAGGGCGAATTTTATTTTAGAAAGTGGCATGGGAAAGAAAAAGCAATAAATTTGCACAAACTCAAGAGTAATGACAAAAAAATGTTTTCAAATACCCTTCAGATGCCAGCTGTGGAGTAAATCTGCCCATTTTCTGTGTTTCCAGACCAACTTGCATCTTTTAGCAGCTGCATTCAGCAATATATTCCTCTGCACTAATAGCATAAACTAATGTGGTCTCCCGGTAACTTTCAGGTGGAAAAACATCTGAATTATATTTTGAGGACACAACATTTCAGAGAATAGCCTAGAGGTAGGAAGGCAGAGTCTCCAACCTCATAAACTTGGCACTTACAAACACAAGATGCCAGTGATCCTGTTGCATCTGCAACTTCCTTTGTCCAAATCAGACTCTTTGTTCATCAGAACCAGCATTGGCTGCATTGATTTAAAGTCAAGATACATTTTGCAAATCTTTCCACAAAGAGTTAAGTGTGTGGGCATATCTTCCTTTCATAACTAATGGCAAGTAAGATGTTATGAATTGCACTTATCTGGAACATGTATGCATACATACAAAAACATAATATTGTTACTGCCAAGGGAAGGACCATCAAAACCTTTCAACACGAAGATTCTCACATTGAAGCTAATAAGAACCAGCTGTTTCATCAGGCTCAAAACTGAACCCATGAAGGAAACATTTTCAGGCTGCCAAGCATCCCCCCCCCCCAAAAAATGCAAGAGACCAAAGATGAATTCCACAAGCTTCTTCGTTGAAGGCTCAATGAAACACATTTTTATTAATAAGCTGCTTTTCTTGTAAGAGTTTCATTTATATACAGACAGTCCTCTACTTATGAACAGGTTACATTCCAAGAGGCTGTTAAGTCCATTTTGTTTGTAAGTCCAACCATGGCACACCACATACATACACCCGGAGGTTTACAGGGCACCGCATACATATGCATGCCTGCTGTAAATTTCCAGGTGTACGTATATGGTGAACCGTACACATCCAGATGTATGTACACATGCACACCATAAACTTCCAGGACCTTTCTTTGAGGACCTTCATTGTTGGAGTTATTGGAGGTTTGTTCATATCAGAGAAAGTTCATAACTCGAAAGTTCATAAGTAGAGGACTGTCTGTAATGCAAGTGGACCTCGTTTAATGACCACTCATTCAGTGACCATTCGAACTTGCGAGAGTGCTGATCTAGTAGTACTTATGACCAGTCCTCAGAGTTCTGGCCATTGCAGTGCCCCTGCAGTCACATGATTGCAATTTGCAACCTTCCCTACCAGCTTCCCACAAGCAAAGTCAACAGGGAAGCTGGCAGGAAGTTGGAAGTCACGATCTTGAGGTTCTCGTCTAACAACGGCAACCGGGGACTGCCATCACTAAGTGGTGCAGTCACATGACATCATGCTTTGCAACCACGTCACTTAGTGATGGAAATTCTGGCCCCAATTACTGTGGTTAAGTGAGGACTACCTGTATGCTAACAGAAAATAAGCCATAGGTAGCTTAGCATGATGCATGAGCGCTGACATTGAATGAGACCACTCAAACCTGCTGCTGCACCATATAGGAAATCCAGAGGTCCATCCTCACAACAACCTTTAGACTAAGAAATAGCAAACAATCAAGATCAAAGCCCACATTGCATGGCTGAGTGAGGACTTCCACCTGGATCTCCCCAGTCCTAATTTAACACCAAACTAGCTCTCAAAATGACAGAAGCAAAAGAGCATATATTTTCTTGAGCTCATGCAGGGAGTGCAATTCATATAATCCGACTTACTGAATTTCAGTTCTATAAGAAATAAGACAGTGTTTTTCTTAAAATAACAATAATAAATCTTGAAGACCTTGAAGACATGTGCACTTCTGCCTCTACAACGCACCCAAAAGGATATCATAGCCGAAACGAATCACGTCATTCAGTTTTAGTGTGATGTACTTCTGGTCAGGGATCCGTATGTCATTCACAAAGGTCTGTGGAAGAGAAAGACAAAAAATATCATTCAAGCAACAAGTGAGGAGAAGGAAGTCAACATGGAGAAGTTTATTCAGGAAACCCTGTTTAGCTTTAGGAAATCTTCTGCCCAGATCTCTATCTATCTGCCAATCATCTGGTACCTCTTTCCTTCCCACATACCCGTTAATTCCCCACCACTTGATGCTTTCTCCTTCCCTGCTGTTGAAAACAGCTTCAACTGCATTTCAGAAAAGAAAACACGCAACCACTTTTTCTCTGCCATGCAAAGCATTTGACAGAGCAACTGAGGCAATACCACAAGGGTATTTTTCCAAACCATAAAAGCTCCCTTGTTGCATTTTTTGGCCTAAAGAGCAAGCCTTCTAAAACGTCAAAGGAACCATCTTCATAAACTTAGCATGTACTTTTAAATGCATTTAAAACACATAACGTCAGTAATCTTTATAACAGTCCTTAAAGGCTGGTTAGGATTATCCACGTACTGAAGATAGGGAAGAGGGTCCCAGAAAGGAACAGCCACTTGACTGAATCCATGGCTGAAAAGGAAGTTGGATCAAGCAACTCTTCCTTAACCGCTAGATCACAGAAGTACTGAAAGTGCTTAAATTTACTCCAAATTAATTGCAAGGAGTACCTATTGCATGTCATGGTACATCTCAAACCCACAGGTGTGATAAGTAATAACTGTCTTCATATACAGAATTGCATTTTACTAAAGGTTTCTCCTGCAAGTAGGTCACCTGACACTCCAGGGCACATGTGTTTTTTGTGGCTGTCTCCCTCTCTGCCCATAATCGCTGAAAATTGATGACATGATCCTTGCCACTTTTCAGAGACGAAACACATAAAAACAGGCAGTGGACACCACTTAAAAAAGATTTAATTTTGTTCAGAAAATGAACAGAAAGACTCCTACCTCACAGGTTTAAAAAAAACCTGACAACTCCTTACCCCAGTCGTGTGTGACACATCTCTGCACATCCTGCGTCACATCTATTGCATCTCTCTTCATGTCCCCATCTTAACTTTATTACAGTCAAAGACAAGCATATCATCCTGAACTCTAAAATATTGCCCATCTCTGTTTTAATAGTTGAAACAGTTCAACAGCTTAAAATAATGATTCCTTCTTTTCACAATACCTTACAATTTAAGAAGTTTCCTTTCTTTTTGCCATCACAGTGCTGCACCCAAACTTTTATCAGCGATATAAGATTCATTGAAAGGCATCAATGTTGCAAAAGGTGTCGGACAATCTGGGAGGACTGCAAGGGAGGGGGGAGTATTTGGAAAAACCACGCAGCTGAAAAATTTGCAATCAGTTATACTGTATATCAGTATACAGTATACTGCCAGTGTATATCAGTGGTTTTATCCTCCTTGATAGTTAGAGCAAGAAATAGCCTGCAATTTCACAAGCCAACTATGACAGATAGCTGCTACTCTTTAGTAAATGGAATTGCTTTGCAAAACGTTTTTAGACGCCAGACTATGGAGTTTCTATAGGTGAGATCCAAACTTTTAAGTAAAATCTGCCCAAGGGTCCAGGAAGACAATGGCAAGCAGAGAATTTTTTTTTTCTGGCTGACGTTAACTTCAACATGATTGGAAACAGAGGCAAGCCATGCCAAGAAAAACAGCTGTATTTGGATCAGAATCCACAGAATTGGAAAACGTTGAGCATGGTCAATCTTTTACAGATGGGGCTTGGGCAGCAATCAGGCCCAGGAAATTATCTGCAGCCAGGCCTTCACAGAGATGGTGCAGACTTAACTTCTGAGCTGTTTTAAAAGTGTAGGTGGGGAAGAGGAGAAATGTTGAACAAAAGGCTCTCTCCAGAGCACTCTTAACTATTTCACGTGATTGTGGTCAAGAGACATCTATCAACAAAGACCTAGTGCAGATACAATATTCCCCCCTCTCCCTTCAGTTAGAAGATGCAGCCCACCTCATAGACTCATATGATCTATCTTACCTGCCTTCCTCTGTCCACAGGAATTTATTTTTTTTCATTCCAGTTTGGGAGCTAGCCATATGTACTATAACATCTATACCAGCAAATCTCACCAACCATGATTACGTCCAATTTGGGGTTCATATAATTGCCTAGAACTGAGTCTCGAGCAAATCTCTTTCCTAGTTCTGCCTTTCACTTGGGAATTATAAGAGGGTGGATCTATGCTTTGCATCCTTGTAAATGTTTCTGTTCTTTCTTTGCAGAAACAGATTGAAGTCAATCAGAAGCTGGAACATTAAAACCAGGATCAAACTGCCTTTTTCCAGCTAAACCTGGATGGCTTTGCAGGGCAAATAGTTGTTCATTCTCTGTCCCTAAGTCCATCTTTTTCATTATCAGAGCTGCATGTTCTGGAGCAACAATAGCAGCATCCTTCAGATTCAAAAGGAAAAAAAATGTTTTGAAGCTCATGGGACAGGCATATAGAACTTGTTGGCAATTTTTTTAAACGAAACATGTATTTTCCTGGGACTGCATAGCTGTTGCAGCTGCAGAGGGCAGACATACAATCTCAGCAAAAGATGCAGATGTTTAGGAGTTTCTGGCAATGATGTGAGCCCCCATGGTTTGAAGCCAAGTTTTTCCCTTCAAATCCAATGCATTGTATAGCCGTCTAAAATGAGAGGATACTTAGGGGGTGGATATTTTTTCATTAATTCCTTACAGTCCCACTTCATCTTGACTTCCACTTTGGAATGACAGGCTCCTAATCTCCTAATGATCTCCTTGAAATAATGAATGCTATACCTACAAGACAAGGAGACCAGAGTAGAACTCCTTGGCACCAACAAGAAAGCTATAATGGTCAGGATAAGAGTCCTTTCTGAAGTGTAGTTATCAAGCAGGCGCAAAAGACTGCAAAGCAGTGCTACTACTTCAGGTTATGCCAGATACACCAGAAAAAGGTGATCTTCTACAGCAGTATTCATCAATCTGACAGTCTGCAAATGTGTTGGCTTTCAACAATCATAATTTGCAATCTATATGACCTGTGGAGCTGAAGTCAGCACATCTGGAAAATGCTAAGATAGGGAAGTCTGATTATAACATCCAAAAGCCACTGAGATATCCAAGGAAATCAACAAAGGCATGATTTCCAAATGAAAAAGGAAGCAAAGCTCTTGCTTTCACAAATTAGACGTTGGGGATGCACCCAAAGCCCTTGCTCTTGAAATTAAACTTTGTGTCTAATAGTCCTGCAACAGTCTTGTCGTACACAAATGTATTGAATCATACCTCTGGTCTCTCTATTTAGAGTTTTACCTTGATTCTCCTAGCTTGGAAATGTCAGAGATTAACCTATGCTGTTTTCTGTGCAAACAGCATGGTTTTGACTATAAAATTGTGCTCTCCCCACCAAAGATGTGTCATTCTTTTCTCAAACTGCTTGGATTTACTTGGGACAACTAGGGTACTACAATGGACTCTATGAGGAGTTATCCTGAAGAGTCGCTAGAAGCAAGAACTACCCTGCTAATTAGTACATGGTAACATGACCACATTATACCTATACTGAATGATCTGCATGGATCGCTAATTACTTAATGGGCTCAGTTTAAAATGTTAGTTAAAGCTGTAATTGGGCGTCTGTTTTAGAAACCCTATCTATCATTAAGGTCTACAAGAGAAACTGTTCTAAGAAAGTCCCATTTGCAGAAGCAGACACAGGAAATGGCCTTTCCCTGCACACATTGCTCCCAAACTACTGTGATTCTGGATTTATAATTGGCCCCTATTCATTCAGCTTCTTCTTTTTTGCGGGGGGAGGGGGTAGAACTGTTTGTTATTATTATTCATTCAACATATATAACAGATTTCATCTCAGAGCTCATGGCTTCATTTAGCACTCTCTCTATTTTTTCCCCACAACAACCATTCTGCAGGATAGGCTGGGCTTAGAGAGTGTGATTAGTTCAAAGCTATACAGTGAGTCCTAATGGTTCAAGACAGACCCAAATCTCCATTTCTCTGTTCCCAGTCTAACATTTTAACCACTATATCACATTGGCTTTTTAGTATTTTTTCAGGGCTTCAGTACAAAATTCTATTCAGCATTTTTAATTCTTGGTTAAATGCAGACATTTGTTTTAATAGAAGTGTACAAAGTCCATCTAATCCAGGAAGCCATCACATAGTTGTTTCAGAAGCAAATGGATCTGATCAAGAAGGCACATCACCTTGAGCTGAATAGTGCATTTTTTC